TTGTTGGTGGGGCCCTTTTAATGCTTCTCTAGCACAGGAGAACCTCAGCTAATAGACTGGTTCTATCTTCTGAATCAGGTACATTGGCAGACTTGAAAGAGATGTCATCATAGTCTTGAATTACATGGCCCTTCTTCCTCTGACACTATGTTTCCTAAGCAATTTTCTAATTGAAATTTGATTTCCAGTGTTAATTTGGATGCTATCCATGGTAGGGATGGTGTTGTCTTCTCTACAACATCTTTATTTCCTAGATATGTTTCTTCATATGAAACTTTTAGAGGATAAAAGTTTCTCACACATAGCAACAGCCTCCTGTCCAGTCTCCCTGTACCTCACACTGGCGACTATGGCTCACTCAAGAGTTAACAAACATACCCACCTCAATAATAACATGTGAGCTCTCCTAATCCTGTGGCTAAAACTCCATTGGGTCTTCCTTACACAAGATTAACAAACAATTCAACAATTCCCCACACAAGCCATCAGAGAAGGCTCTCTGGGACTGTACTTCCTAGTGTCTCTCTCAGTTTCCTTGAGCTCCAATATACTAGAACACATATGGCCACTCTTAGACTCTGTGAGTTTAAATGTGCTATGCCCTTTACCTTATACACAGCTATATGTCTCCACCTAACAAATGAATTCTAATTGTTTCAGATTTACGTGAAATGTAAGCGCATACTGAAGTCTTCTCTAACTCCTGAGGTTAGAAGTGGCTGAGAGTATTCAGAGCTCCAGGCACACTTCCTATTCATCTGTAATACTGTGATGATCACTCTGAATTGCAATTTAACTGCTTACAAGTTCGTTCTCCATCCTCTTCTTAAACTAGATTATGGTTCTTAAGGACTAGAAAATGAACCTCTGTACCACCATAATTTATCACAAAGCCTGACACACAGTAAGTGCTTAATGCATGTTTTCTGTGAATAGTATCATAATGGTTATAACAATGATGATACCAACATCACAGGCATATACAAAACTGCAAAATGATAAGGTAACAGCATCTTGTTGCTCCAATCTGTAATAATGCTTTTGGAAATGAATGATGAAAAACATATCTATATTTCTGTGAACATACCTGAGACTGACTAATAATCAAGGGTTTTTATATGTTCATGAGTTGCATGTGAAAAATAAGGCAGTTTTTATTAAATGAGTGAGTATTAATGTGTTCATTTACTCAAGAATTTTCTCCCACATCCAAATTTCTTGTCCGGAAAGTATGTGTGGATGTGATGTTCAACATATTTAATAAGTCATATGGAAATTACAGGACTAATCAGAATAAATCTGTACAGCCATATGAAGGAAGCAGGGTCCTGGAGGTCCCTCTGGGGCTATATGTTAACTCTTGTTTTTGGATTAACACTGAGGAGGTTTGAAAAGCCAGGCATCCAGTGTGACATGGTGGGGGGTGGGGGACATTTTCCAGGGGGATTTGAGCAGTGGTTGTTTACCATCTAGAATGAAACCACTGTAATTTCTTAATAGTCAATACAATTAATAGAGTACACTACTGTACATCAGGTCTTCTCTCATTATATAAATCTGTCTTTAGTATAATTTGAAGTCAGGTATGTGATACCTTCAGCTTTGTTCTGGTTGCTTAGGACTGCTTTGGCTATTCAAGCCCTTTTCTGGTTCCATAAGAATTTTAGGATTTTTTCTTTCTAATTCTGTGAAAAATGACATTGGTAATGTATTGGAATGGTGTTGAGGTGTTGAATATGTACATGGCTTTGGGTAGTACAGTCATTTTATTGATACTGATTCTTCAAATCCATGAGCATGGGGTGATTTTCCATTTGTTTGTGTCATCTATGATTAGTGTTTTGCAGTTCTCCTTGTAGAGATCTTTCACTTCCTTCATTAAATGTATGCCTATGTATGTTTTTTTTTTTTTGTAACTATTGTGAATGGGATTGAAATCTTGATTTGGTTCTCAGCTTGACTATTATTATTAGTGTTTAGCAATGCCACATATATTTGCATGTTGATTTTGTATCCTGAAAATTTACTGAAAACATGTATCAAATTTAGGGCTCTCATTGCTATAGTAACCAAAACAGTATGGCACTGGTATAAAAATAGACATATAGATAAATGGTACAGCATGGAGAACTCATAAATAAAGCTACATACCTACGACCAACTGACCTTTGACTAAGTCAACAAAAACATATACTAGGGAGAGGACACTCTATTAAATCATGCTGGAAAAAATTGGATAACCATATGCAGATGAATGAAACTATACCCATATCTCTTTCCATATACAAAAATTAACTGAAGATGAATTAAAGATTTAAATGTTCCAGGCATGGTGGTCCATGCCTCTAATCCCAGCACTTTGGGAGCCTGAGGTAGATGGAACTCCCGACTCACCTGAGGTCAGGAGTTCAAGAGCAGTCTGAACAATATGGAGAAACCCCATCTCTATGAAAAATACAAAATTAGCTCAGTGTGGTGGCACATCCCTGAAATCTCAGCTACTCAGGAGTCTGAGGCAGGAGAATTGCTTGAATCCAGGAGGTGGAGGTTGTGTTGAACCAAGATCACACCACTGCACTCCCGCCAAAATTAATTTTAAAAAAAGACTTAAATATACGACCTGAAACTGTAAAAATCCTAGAAGAAAATCTAGGAAAAACTCTACTGAACATTGGCCAAGGCAAAGAATTTATGACCAACTCCTCAAAAGCAAACATCATAAAAACAAAAATATATAAATGAGAGTTAATTAAAGGAAAAAGCTTCTGCACAGCAAAATAAACAATCAACAGAGTAAACAAACAACCTACAGAATGGGAAAAATATTTGCAATCCATGTATCTGACAAAGGGCTAATATCCAGAATCTACAAGGAACTCAAACAACTCAACAAAATAAATAAATAAATAAACAACTCCATTAAAAAGTGGGCAAAACACATGAACAGACACTTTTTAAGAGAAAACATACAAGCAACCACTAACATATGAAAAACATTCTCAACATCATTAATCATCAGATAAATGTCAATTAAAATCACAGTGAGATACAATTTTACATCATCAGCCAGAATGGTTAATATTAAAAAGTCAAGGAACAACAGATATTGTGAGGATGTGGAGAAAAGAGAATGAAAATGCACTGCTGATGGGAGTGTAAATTAGCATAGCCTTATGAAAAACAGTATGGAGAGTAATCCAAGAACTAAAAATAGAACTACCATTTGATACAGTAATCCCACTACTGAGTATATACCCAATGATATACCCAATCATTATATAAAAAAGATATCTGTAATTGTATTTTTCTGGTAGCACTATTCACAATATTGAAGATAGGGAATCAACTTAAATGTCCACTAATGGATAGCTGGATAAAGAAAATGTGTGTGTGTGTGTATAAAATATAGTGTGTATACATATGCACACATATATGTAACAAATGCCATATTCCATACATATATCATATACACATATACACACACCAGAAATACCATACACCATAAATTCCATAAAGCACTACTCAGCCGTGAAAAAGAAATCATATATTTTGCTGCAAAAGATTTATAAAATCTAGGACTCCCAAGATTTAGTAACCAAAACACCATGGCACTGGTATAAAAATAGATATACAGATCAATGGAACACATTAGAGGAACTGGAGGCAATTATCGTCAGTAAAATAACTCAAAAACAGAAACTCAAATACTTTAAGCTCTCACTTATAAGCGGGAAAAAAACAGAGTACACATGGATATATAGTGGTAAATCATATACACTGGAGATAATAAAAGATGAGAGCACGGGAGGAAGGTAAGGGTTGAAAAACTACCTATTGGGTTATCAAATCACCTTTTGGGTTACGAGTACACTAAAAGCCCAGACTCTACCGCTATGCGATACATTAATGTAAGAAATCTGAACTTGTACTCCCTAAATCTATAAAAATGAAACATATATATACACACATATATAAAATAAATCTGTCCTTAGGACTTACAGTTTTAACAATTCAAACCAGCAACCTTGGGATAAGAGAAACTTTAGAAGTCAGCATGTAATAATAATGCTTGGAATAAACCCATTAATCCAATATAAAGATCATTTTCATTTTACTGAAGAGAAATTGAATTATGAAGGTACCACACAACAGTCTTATTATTTAACACTTTATCCATAGAAAGGCAGAAAAAAGCCAGAGAAGCCCATTCCATAAAGAAATCTCTTAAATAGTCTGCCTTTTTTTTTTTTTTTTTTTTGAGACAGAGTTTCGCTCTTGTTACCCAGGCTGGAGTACAATGGTGCGATCTCAGCTCACCGTAACCTCCACCTCCTGGGTTTAGGCAATTCTCCTGCCCCAGCCTCTCGAGTAGCTGGGATTACAGGCACGCGCCACCATGCCCAGCAAGTTTTTTGTATTTTTAGTAGAGACAGGGTTTCACCTTGTTGACCAGGATGGTCTCGATCTCTTGACCTCGTGATCCACCCGCCTCGGCCTCCCAAAGTGCTGGGATTATAGGCGTGAGCCACCGCGCCTGGCCAATAGTCTGCTTTTTTAACTGTGCTGAGTTTTGGACTCTTTTAAGCTACATATATTCGAGTCTCTCCTTGCCAAACACTCTATTTATCACTCCAGAGTAAGTAAATATAAAAGCAATTAAAAGGCACCATTTTTTAGCAGTTCATTCATCCTGGAACCCATCTACCCAACACCATTTTTAAAACATTTTGATTTTTAATTTTTGGGGGTACATAGCAGGTGTATATATTCATGGAGTACATGAAATGCCTTGATACAGGTATGCAATGCATAATAATCGCATCATGGAAAATCGGGTATCCATCTACTCAAGCATTTATACTTTGTGTTATAAACAATCCTATTACACTCTTAGTTATTTAAAGTGTATAATTAAGTTATTATTGACTAAAGTCACCCGGTTGTGCTATCAAATAATAGGTCTTATTCTTTCCATTTTTTTTTTTGTACGCATTAACCACTAAAATAGAGAATGTTTCACGAATGTGCATGTCATCCCTGTGCAGGGCCATGACAATCTTCTCTATATTGTTACCATTTTAGTATATGTGCTGCCAAAGTGAGCACCCAACACCTTTTTTTTTTTTTCTTTCACACGCTAAAATACAGTGCAAAGTAGGTATTGCAGGGAGGTAGGTGGATACAAAAATAAAGACAGTGCTTGACTCTGGGAATTTCTATTACTTTCTCTTTCAAATTTTCTGTTCATTCCATTACGGCTTTGAATTAATGTCTAAACATTGACTTGATTTTTCAAATTCCTTCATGAAAATGAATATCACTCACTTTAATTACTTAAAAATCTTTGTTCCCCTTTATAATCTTAGCTTGTATTTGAACCATTTATTCGAGTGTGCAGAAATCCAAGCAGTTTCTTCTCTGCATGAAGCATAAAGAAGGCTTTGGAATTGCAACACAAGAGCCTGGCCTGAAGCCCTGCTTATGCATTTGCTAACTATGTCAAGTAGCATGGTAGAAGTAGAAAATGCATTCTAGGAGTAGAAGAGTTCGCAGAGAGGACAGTTTTGTCAGCAGCGGTGTGGCAGCTCTGCATTTTATGCAAGAAAGGCTTAGCGGGTTGAGGTGGGAACTAGACATATCTTAATGCAGCCTTTGCATAGGAAACATGTTTTTACTTCTGCGGTGTTCTCATTTGGATGGATTGAGAAACTGAGATTATAAACAAGACTAATTCTAACACTAGCCCCAGCCACCACCTCCAGATTCTTAGTGTCTTATCTGCAAACCACAATTCAAAAAAAGTCAATCAAGAGAAGTTTCCCCCTCAAAAAAACAAAAACAAAAAAAAACAAGCTAACTGCCAAAGACACTTTAGAGAGTAATCACTCTGCCTGACTGAAACAGTTAAGAAAATTATATTAAAGACCTTTAAAAAATTAATAGTTGTTTAAGTAAAAGAACTATGTATCTTTAAGCTGTCTTGTGTCTCCAGCCCCAACCCTAGATGGTATTTGATAGATGCATGAGAGAAGATAAAGAAATGCTAAATCGGGTGGAAAAGGATACAGCTTCCTAGATATCACGGCACATGGGAAGTACACACCAGTAAGAGAGGAAATGCAAGCATCCAACCAAGTGGTAAGGACCAAAAAGACCAAAAGGGACACCAGGAATACATTAAAAGCCAAAAGAGCACTTGGAAGCTTAAGATATTTGAACTTCAGCCGGGCGCGGTGGCTCACACCTGTAATCCCAGCACTTTGGGAGGCCGAGGCGGGTGGATCACGAGGTCAAGAGATCGAGACCATCCTGGTCATCCCGGTGAAACCCCGTCTCTACTAAAAATACAAAAACTTAGCTGGGCATGGTGGCGCGTGCCTGTAATCCCAGCTACTCAGGAGGCTGAGGCAGGAGAATTGCCTGAACCCAGGAGGCGGAGGTTGCGGTGAGCCGAGATCGCGCCATTGCACTCCAGCCTGGGTAACAAGAGCGAAACTCCGCCTAAAAAAATAAAAATTAAAATTAAAATATATTTGAACTTCAACATATTCAAACTTAAAAAATGTATAAATTTAAAAATTATTTTAAAGAGAGAGAGTACTGATACGGTTTGGCTGTATCTCCACCCAAATCTCATTTTGAATTTTAATCTCTATAATCTCCAAGTGTGGAAAGGACATGATGGGAGGCAACTGAATCACGGAGGCGGCCTTCCCCATGCTGTTCTCGTGATAGTGAGTGAGCTTTCACAAGATTTGGTGGTTTTATAAGCCTCTGGCATTTATTCTGCTGTCACTCATTCTCTCTCCTGCTGCCCTGTGAAGAGGTGGCTTCCACCATGATTGCAAGTTTCCTGAGGACTCCCCAGCTATGCAAAACTGTGAGTCAATTAAGCCTCCTTTCTTTATAAATTACTCAGTCTTAGGTATTTTTTCCTAATGGTGTGAGAACAGACTAATACAGTTATTGACTAAACTACAGAAAATCAAGAATGTAGCATTAACCTCTAAAATGTCACATTTGTTTAAAACAGACAACTAGAATGTATTCAGTCAGTAAGTCATTTATCATTTTGAAAACATTCAGGTCTTAGGAATAGGCAATCAGATTATGAAACAATTACATTGTTCTCCAAATCTTCTGGCATAAAGTACCCAATACATCAATCATTTCACATCCTTGAAGTCTCATCCTCTGCACCTGTTCATCTTCTTCATGACAGTGTTGGTGTCATCTTAAGCAAAAGTGGGAAAGGCTTGTTTCTTGGTACTACATTGGGATTCATTGTTTTGGTCTCAGATGAAATTTATTGTGCTGAATTCTAAATATCCAACTCAATGCTTTGGAATGTTCTTTTGCATATCTGGGTTTGCATTACTACTTTAATACTTGCTGGCATTTTGAACATGAATAAATTGAATATATGAAAGCATACACTTCATGGGGTTTCATGAAGCCTAAAAGAGAAAGGAAGACAATGTGTGGTAGCGGGATTTTCACAGTGCTTGACACCAAGCACATCTTCGCCTTCTTTACTAAATAAGTCAGCACATATTTATTGAGTATCAACTGTGTATCTAATTCTGTAATATCTCTGTATGATGCCAATTAAAGTCATTTATTTAACAATCTATCATTGAGTATCTACAATAAGACTGCTGAGTACTGTACTGATTCCTGGAGTGGGAAGTGAGGTAATCAGTTCAGATAATAAGCCACATGGCTGCCTCCCAGGAACAACAAGGCAAGCTGACTGTTAGGTACCCAATCTACACTCTGCTAAGTAATGGGCAGGGAAGAGTGGTGTCTAGGTGACTAATATACTTATAATGCCTAATCCTTGCTAACCTCTAAGCACTTTAGAGACACTGGATGTGGTTATAGCATTTTAAAAGATAAATAAGCCCTCCATAGAGCAGTTCATGGATTTCTCATATGCTATTACGTTGACTAGATCAACAAAGCGTGGGATGCCCCCATCAATCGCTAGTAACATGATGATCTCACAAGTGCATTACCTACAACTTGACTATCACATTGACTTCAGAAAGAGAATGGAGGCTTTTCTGCATCATTCCACAAATATTGTTATGTTTTTTTTTTTCCCAAAGAGGAGAGAGACACACATTACGGTTTATTCAATCATGTTTGTCTTACTCATCTCTGACAGTGTATGTGAAAGATATATACATGGAACAAAGGGAAGGTTTGTGGATCTTATTTGACTCTTGGCTTAACCATAGCCAACTGTTTTTCAGCAGGTTCTTAATTTATCTGAATCTTATTTATGTAATGTGATTAAAATCTAACTTATTATTCATTTTTATGAGTGTAAAGTCCCCAATGCATTATAGACATGCAGTATTAATTTCATCATGCATCTTCTCTGCTTTAAAATTTCTCTTTCCATTTGACTAGACATTTATCCAAAGAATATATATATATATATATATATATATATATATATATATACATCAAACAAACACATGAAAAGATGTCCAAATTGTTAGTTTTTATGTAAAGTAAAATCAAACCTACAATGAAATATCACTTTACATCCGTTAGAACAGACAACAACAAGTACTGGCAAGAATGTGGAGAAATAGAAACACTCAGACCATGCTCGGGAAAGTAAAATGGGGCAGCAGCTGCAGAAAAGTTTGATCATTCCTCAAGATGTTAAACAGAGTTACCATATGACCAAGCAACTCCACTCCTCAAGTTAGAGTTTTAAAAACAAATGTTCATACTTGTTTATGAGTGTTTATATAAATATTATTCATAGTAGCCAAACCAACTCCATTTTACACCAAGTGATGAATAAACAAAAGTGGAAAAAAAGTGGTACATCTATACAATGGAATATTATTCACTAATAAAAGACACTAGTTACTGATTCATGCTACAGCATGGGTGAACCTTGAAAGCATTATGCTCAGTGAAAGAGGGTAGACATAAGCCTAAATATCACATAATCCCATTTATAGGAAATGTCCAGAATAGGCAAATCCACAGAGACAAAATAAATCAGTGGTTGCCAGAAGTGGGAAGGAAGAGTGAAACTCTGTGTTCCTTTCTTTTAACCTTGGTTTCCTATAAACCCTCTTTTATGTTTCCAGTTTAGTAAGAAGTAAAAGGGGACAAAAATGGGTCAACAATGAAGATTCTGCAAATAAATAACAGTCAATTTCATGTTAATGCCATTTGAGAAACAAAACAAGAAAAATCCTCATGTACCACCCCAAAACTGTTTGCCTTATTGACAAACTTGACTCCTAGACCTTTGTTTCAGAACAAGTATTATTGAGAAAATTGGTCCATTTTCTGTGATTGCTGGAAAGCAATTAAAACAAAAATCAAAGAGCTATAACCATCTGTTCATTTCCAATTCTTATCTCTCCATTTGCAGAACAGCTATAAATTATAGTGCTTGTGGATCATTCAATATTTTCAGTATGAAAGACAATGGTGGTCTTTAGCTGGGCCAACATGGCAAAACCCTGTCTCTAGTAAAATTACAAAAATTAGCCAGGCATGGTGGCAGGCATCTGTAAATCCAGCTACTTGGGAGGTTGAGGCAGGAGAATCACTTGAACCAGGGAGGCAGAAGTTGCAGTCAGCCAAAATCATACCACTGCACCTCAGTCTGAGCGACAGAGCAAGACACTGTCAAAAAAAAAAAAAAAAAAAAAAAAGAAAAGAAAAAGAAAAAGAAGAAAAAGATAATGGTAGTCATTGAAAGTTATTGCTGAGAAAATTTGGAATTTTCAACAGAAATTCCGATTTAAATACAGATAATAGGCTAGAAATCTACTATCTAACTTTGCCTCTCTGAAGGTGGAAGCCATGAGCTCCCCATCCTTTGCATTGATTGAAGTCATTTCCCAATCTACACCACAAAGTAGGAACATAGTAATTTTCCATGATATCTTAAAGTTGCAAGGGTACATTCTCTGTCTCTTCCACATTGCACTCCATACCTCCTTTTCTCTTCTACTGGTGTGACTTTGTATTTGTACATACCTAGTAAAATGAGTTTTTACTCATCTACCTGGCAAACCCTTCTGCCGAGAATCAGATTTAGTTCATATAGAGAAGGGTTCAGT